CTCTCCCTCCTCGCGACAGCCCTCCCCTGGCAGATCCCTTTAAGAGAGGATCTACTTTCTTAGGGACAGGGCACCATCTGGCACTCTTCCCCCGATCTCTGGAACCTCCACGTGTGGTCCCTAGACGAGAGGAAGACTTGGGTAACCTGCCGTCTGCGGCCCCATACGCCCTGAAGTGGAGTCTATTCACTGAATGGTGTGTCTCTCGCAGAGAAGATCCCCGAACTTGCCAGATCAGTGTTGTGCTCTCTTTCCTTCAAGAGAAGCTGGATAGCAGGCTGTCGCCCTCCACTCTCAAGGTTTACGTTGCCACCATCTCCGCTCTCCACGACGCGGTGGCTGGCGGCACCGTGGGAAAGCATAACTTCATCATCCGGTTCCTCAGAGGTGCTAGGCGAATTAATCCAACTCGCCCCCCTCTCATGCCCTCTTGGGATCTCTCCCTCGTCCTCACGAGCCTGCGTTCAGATCCCTTCAAGCCACTCGATTCAGTATCCTTAAGATTTCTGTCCTTGAAGACAGCTCTGCTGGTCACGTTGGCCTCCATTAAGAGGGTTGGGGACCTGGAGGCATTTTCGGTCAGTGACTCGTGCCTGGAATTCGGGCCGGATTTTTCTCATGTTATCCTGAGACCCCGCCCGGGTTATGTGCCCAAGGTTCCTACCACTCCCTTAGAGATCAGGTAGTTACCCTGCAAGCGCTGCCCCCGGAGGAGGCAGACCCGGCCCTTTCCTTACTCTGTCCAGTTCGCACCCTGCGCATTTATGTAGACCGTACTCAGTACTTTAGATCCTCTGAGCAGCTCTTTGTCTGTTATGGCAGACGGCAGCAGGGAAGTGCTGTGTGCAAACAAAGATTATCCCACTGGATTGTGGAGGCCATTTCATTTTGTTGGGATTTTTTGATGGCATTAGCCATTTCCCTGCGTGTTCAATGAGAGTCAGGAGAGGTTTTCTTTAATGCAAAAGTATTAGCCATTTAATGAATACAATTGAATAATTCGATAGATACAGAGCTCCGGGTTGGAGGTGTCCCTCACGTATGTTCAGGCCATCTTCAACAACAACTCTTTCCTTCCAACTACTTTTATACACATGTGTAAACAACTGGTGTTCTAGGAATTGGCCGGGTGTGGTCCTTTACGTTCTGTATTATCTGGCCTTGGCACCACAGACCCTGGCCCCTCTTGACGTACATACATGAACATGACACAGCTAAATTACATACATAAACATGACACAACTATATAACATACATGGGCATAACACAGCTACATTCATAGAAAGAAATGAAAGAGCTACAATTAATAAGTAATAAATTTCTAACAATGTGCTTATTTGAGCAGAGGTCAGCCGCGTCCCCTGGAGTGCGTGCGCACTCCACTCGGAGCATTGCATCCTATTGGGCGCATGCACGCGGCGCCTCTTTAACAGACATTTATAGACGACACCCAACACATTTGCAAGGTTTTACAATTTGCGAGTGGAGCCGGTTTCCTCAAGGGTATTAGGTAACCCTTGGTGATTGAGGAAACAACTCGGTGGGGTGTTGTAACACGCTTGCGGTGCCTTTTTTCCCTAACACTGAGAGATGTGCACCTTCCCGTCTGTCAGTAAAAGTTCCCCGTTCGGTGAGCCCTGCAGATTCGCCCGAGGCCCCCAGCACTGACTCAGCGGAGGAGTCACTTGCTGGCCCACTACGTTAGCTCTGCCCACTGGTCAGCCCGCATTTTTGGGTATAGGTGCCGGCTATGTGTGATCCCCTCTGGCGATCCCATATGCTTATTCCGCCACGGTTAAGTAACATCAAATTTTAACATTAAGATGTGAATTTTAACATCAAATCCACTTATAGCACTGGAGTTCCCCAACCGAAGGGGAACGTTCGAGGTTACAGAAGTAACCCTTCGTTCCCCGAGGAGGGGAACGGAAGTGCTATACTCCGTTGCCATAATGACTGTCCCTTAGCTGTTTAAAAGTCTCTTCAGCTTAAAAAGGATGGCGTTTGCTGGCTTAAGCTGCCAATTCATTGCTTTCATTAGCCCGTTCAATACTCTTTCAGACAAGCGGCTTCTGAACCGAATCTGCGTTGCATTGCGTTGCGTTGCCATTATCTTGGAGTTTCAGATTAACCATGGTCAAATATGCATATAACTTCCTTCCCATCTTGCCTATGGGCTTGTCTCCCTTTCAGTGCTGCTTAGGCTACCAGCCCCCTCTGCAGACTGATTTCACGAGGCTGCCATTTTAAAAGCAAAATCGAGGCTGCTTTGGGAAAAAAAGGGAAGTATCCCCTGGAGTCACACAGGAACATTGTGTACCTAGCTGTATATCTTAATCACAGCCATTTTTGGTGGTCACCAGTGAACACTATGCCAAATCAGCACTGTTTAAAAGCACACTCAGTGGCACTTAAATGTTAGCGGGAAATGAATGTTTTTAAAACTTCAGTACCGGGACTACACTAATACAGACAACACGAGGGGTGTGCTACAGAGGACTGCAATGTTTTATGTTCACCCGGTTACATAGGCTGAAGCAAGGAATGGTCCCCACTGTGTTTACCTGGTGCCATGAACTGAATCCTAGGAGGACACTTATTACGCAAATAGGACGCGTATTATTTTTAAAGAGATTGTAATTTAGTTTGATACCTAACCTGCTTTTAATTGTTTAAATTAAACTGAACTGAATGATATTAAAGTGATGTTTACACCATTTGCATTTTGAAATCGCAGCAACAGCTGGAGGTTTGTAGTCCACAGCATGTTGTTGCAATGTTTACTGTGCTGATCCTATACTTAAGTTTTTTTTCTCACCCCAGCCTAGCTGTCGTTCTTTAAAATGGTGGCCTTGTGAAAAAAGTGTACTCTCTTCCCAAGAACCAGATGACATTGTTCCTTCATGCATTCATTCATTCAGAGATGCCTCTAGACGTGGAGTATCACCAGAAAAGGGCTGGCAATAAGACTAAAGCGTCTGCCCCCTCTATACATGTGTGGTCAGAAAGTCTGGTTGTCTTCCAAAGACTTTGCTCTCAGACTTTCCTCCCATAAATTGGGACCCAAATTCATTGGACCATTTACCATTATCAAGGTGCTCAGTCCAGTGTTGGTACAACTTAAATTAAGCTCCAAGTTTAAAAACATTCATCCATTTTTTTTCAAGATCCACTGTTTCTTGTAGGATTTTTACCAGCTGTGGCGGCAGGCCTTTTTTTTTTACACGTCTAACGATATTTCAGTGGCAAATGTCGCAAGCGCAGTATTACAAGTTAAGATCGCATTTATGTAATAGCCTGCAAGCTTGTATCCAAATCTCTTTGCTTGTGCACCGATTTCCTCTGCTCATGCACAAAACTTTCTTGCACGCCCCCCAAATATTTGCTGCTCAAGCGCAGATCTTCTTGTGGACTCTCAAATAATTGCTGCAGAAGTGCGATTTATTGCGTTTATGTAACAAGTGTCTCCAACATTTATTACATTTGCTAGGAATATTTATGAATGTATTCTTAAATAAACCAATTCTTCTCTCCCCCTTGCAGCCCTTAACCTCTGCTCCTCTGCCTCCCAGGCTGGTTTAGGGTGCACTTACATACACAGTGCACTGGCTTCTGGATGTGAGGAGGATAGGTAGATAAGTTATCAATATCAAGTAGACAGGAAGTCCAGAGGACAGATGTTGGATTCCGGCTCTGAATTTTCTGGACCGCTTACTCATTGATCAGTTTCATCAGGTCCATAGTGAGTCTTAAGGGAATGCCAGGGGGTGTTCTTATAGGAGGGGTACTGTCACCGTATGTCACGTGTTTGTTCTCTCCTCCTGTTTTGGGTTACAGATTATTTCGTCATCTGCTTTTATTTGCAGTCAAAGGAGCTCTCGTTTCTCTTTTTCCTGTTTATACCACATCATTTCCCTTCATGTTTGTGAGAATGTTTTCAATTGTTTGTGGACAAATTATTTTTTTACTTACCCTGTATTTGTTTTCAGGACTACTGGTGAGCCAGTGTCTGTTTTTTTTTCCCCATGGCAATTCCTCAGCGCTCACCCAACCGCTTGTTTACTTTGATATTTGCTTTTTCCAGGACTCACTCCTCAATAAAGACTTGTTTTTTTCTGCATTTGAGTTCACTCTATTTATTTATTTTTTACTCTTGACACATGTATTTTCTTTCTTGTTTGTGTTTAAAGGTCTTTAGATTTTGGAATGATGTCTAGCTTTTGAGGCTGTTTTGGTCTACTTCACTATGTCAGAAAGGTCCTAATTAGAAGATTTCTTGATTGTGAATGTGTGGTAGTAATCAGGTCTGGGTGTGGCCAGAAAACTTGAAGCCAGTGTGATAAATTAAAGTGGTTTTAATGGGGAAAAACATTTTCACACAAGGCTATGTAGTTCAAAGTGTTAGAATTCTGCATTACATTTCTTACATGCAGATTACTAAACCAGAGAACATTTGTCATTTAAAGGTGCAGATATAAGGCTTTATGCAGATGTGTCTGTAAGGCAAATATTCACAGAGATTCAGCTGTTTTTTTCCTGACAGGTTTACCAGTCAGGCACAGAATAAGAAAGCATTCCCTATCTGCTTTACAAGTTTTACAAAAACATGTTGCTTTGTTGTGATTACAAGTATATACAACAAAAAAAAAAAAACTGGCCATTTACAGTTTTCAAATTTATGTCTCATCAATATGACCAAAATGATCTGGTATTAATCATTTAAGAATCTGCTTAAATGTGTTTGTGTGTAATGAACCCCAGGAGGTTGAAATGAAAAGATCAATCTAAATATGGTCTGCTGTTTTTACATTTAATCTGCATCAAAATTAAGGTGATTCAATGAGAGTTTTAATGATTTACTAAAAACTGAACTTTTTTATTTCAGACCTAATTAAAGAGTATGAGAGGAGTAAAGAGGAGGAACATCATGTCAAAATTGAAGACAAAACTCATTTAGAGACTGATGGTATTTTAAAAGCGAGAGACAAGAGTTGTTTTACCTGCACTCAGTGTGGAAAGAGTTTGTCAAGCAAAAGCAAACTGAAGATTCACATGATGATTCACACTGGAGAGAAACCATTCACATGCACTCAGTGTGGGAAGAGTTTCAGCCAATCATCATACCTTAATGAACACATGATGATCCACATAGGAGAGAAACCATTCACATGTACTCAGTGTGGGAAGAGTTTCAGCAAATCATCATCGCTTTATAGACACATGAAGATCCACACCGGAGAAAAACCATTCATATGTACTCTGTGTGGGAAGAGTTTCAGCCAATCATCATCCCTTAATCTACACATGAGGATCCACACTGGAGAGAAACCATTCACATGCACTCAGTGTGGGAAGAGTTTCAACCAATCATCAAACCTTTATCTACACATGAGGATCCACACTGGAGAGAAACCATTCACATGCACTCAGTGTGGGAAGAGTTTCCGCCAATCATCATCCCTTAATCTACACATGAGGATCCACACTGGAGAGAAACCATTCACTTGCACTCTGTGTGGGAAGAATTTCATCCACTCATCACACCTTAATCAACACATGATGATTCACACTGGAGAGAAACCATTCACATGCACTCAGTGTGGGAAGAGTTTCAGGATATCATCATCGCTTTGTAGACACATGATGACCCACACGATAGAAAAACCATTCACATGCACTCAGTGTGGGAAGAGTTTCAGCCAATCATCATACCTTAATAAACACATGAGGATCCACACTAGAGAGAAACCATTCACTTGCACTCAGTGTGGGAAGAGTTTCAGCCAATCATCACACCTTAATCTACACATGATGATTCACACTGGAGAGAAACCATTCACATGCACTCAGTGTGGGAAGAGTTTCATGATATCATCATCGCTTTGTAGACACATGATGACCCACACGATAGAAAAACCATTCACATGCGCTCAGTGTGGGAAGAGTTTCAGCCAATCATCATATCTTAATAAACACATGAGGATCCACACTGGAGAGAGTCCATTCACATGTTCTCATTGTGGAAAGAGTTTCAGCCACTTATCACATTGTAATAAACACATGAAGATCTCTCGGTGTGAGAGAGTATGTGTGCTTGGAGCAGAGTTGAAACGGCACCAGAGGATTCACACTGGAGAAAAACCGTACAAGTGTTCACAGTGCAGCAAAAGGTTTACTCACTCAGGAACCCTGAAAACACATGAGAGGATTCACACTGGAGAGAAACCGTAGACATAATCAGTGTCTTCAGTTTCACTCATTCTGGGCAGCTTCAGAGACACATGGGATGGTTTCTGGTATGGTGTCGACAGTGTAGCAGCCTAGAAAGAGCACTACCATACACACAGGCATTAATCCCTCTTTTTACATCATATATGATAACCTAAACCATATTTATATAACATGGAGGGGGACAAAAACAAAAAGGCTAAGACAAAACAAACATTGAAACCTGAAAAAAAATGGAAATCCACAGATGAAAAATCTGAGAGAGACGGGATAGCTGATGTGTCCTGTCAGCTTGCAGTGCAGCAATACATACAGACATCAAAACTTTCCGGATGGATATAAAATCCGATTTAACCACCTTCCAAGATTCTCTCGCAAAAGACGTGAAAATGGAACTAAGTAACTTTAAATAAGAAGTCTATCAAAAACTTTATGGCCTCATTACGGACCTTAACACAACGGCAGAAAAGGTCAATGAAGCGGAGCAGCGAGTTGGAGAATTTAAGAAGAACGTTGCTGAGATGAAAGAAATGCTCAAATCATCCAAATTCAAGAAAATTTACAAGAGAAACTGTAAAATCTAGAAACACGCTCCCGTAGCAATAATATTCTGATTTTTGGCATACCGGAAGGAAGCGAAGGGAATAATATCCAAGACTTGATGGAAACGATTATTAAAATGGCGCTGTTACTTGATGAATTGGACCTTAAAATCCAACAGTGTCACCGGGCACTCTGACCAAAACCACCTGCTGACGCACAGCCTAGATCAGCAGTGGTATTCTTCCTGGAATACAAAACAATGAACCTGGGGCCTCGTGTATCAACACACAAACCTAAAATCTTTGCTTTACTAATGATGAAATTAATGTGGGAATGTGTGCAGATCCACCCAACTTCATGCCTGGCGTATGCACATTTCTTGTGTGTGTTTGTTTTATTTCCATTGGTGACTCCTAGAGGCAGTTGTGCTAAATTGCTCTCTACAAAGTGTCTTTGGGCCGTGCAATGGCAGCTGTATGAGACAGGTTCATCTGCGTGTAACATATATGCTGGAGATAAACATTTCGTTCAACATTCCATGAAAATGATCTGGTTTCAATTTCCGGGGCAATTTAGGTCACTCGGTGACAAAAAGTCTGGCCTAAAAAAATTCCTGCTGACAAGTAACGAGTTTGGGACGTTCCACAGAACAGTCCTGAAGTACTCTCTGCCGACTTCAAAGGGATATGGCAGATATCTCTCTCTGTTCGTACATGTTTTATAGTCCCGTATAGAAAAATTCTGAAAGAAAAGGGGATTAAGTTTCAAACACCACCGCCGGCGAAACTTAAAATCTTTCTGGAAAACAGGGCGGTCATGTACATTTCAATGACGAGGCATCAAGAGATCTGAAAGAAAAAGGCCTGATAAACAGTGAAGAAACAATTTTAGGAATCTCTGGGAAAGTGAAACAAAGACTTTGGCAAAAGGTTGGAGTGACATCAAAGAAAAGTAAGGAAAAACATCAAGCGAACATCAGGGAAAAGCTATGTTAATTTCCATGGGACAACACTAGCTCCATTTGAAAGAAGGGTAAAATCTGACAGATCCTAACAAAGAACTCTGAGAGGCTGGTAAAAATTCTTGACTTGATTAACCGATAATGGACATTTAAATAATTTGAAGGAAGAATGGTATTTAACCGAACTGACCAACGTCACAAGATGAACGATTAAACCACACCAAAACTCGAGTCACTGAGTAACATACTGGTAGGAAGACATAAAGGGATTCTAATTTACACACCTAAAATCCCTTGCTGTAATTAGAAACATTTAACTTGAAAACCTAGCCAGAAATCCAAGAATATGTTTTTGCCAGATATGGGTGCTGAATATATTTGTTAAATTTTTTTGTGCAATAGGCACAGCAAGGAGAAGGGGCCCTTTAGAGAAGGAAGACTTTCCCCTCACATTAAGAAGTTATTTTAGACTTTAAGGTTTGAAGACCTTTTTCATTATGTTTTTTTTTTACATTTTTTATGTGGTTCAAGATATTCATGTTTGTGTTTTTCATGTTCCGGTCACTGTGATCTCCGTAATAACATCTGATTATAGAATATGCAAAAACAGGCATATAGAGTTATTACTTTGAATATTAATGGGTTACTAAATTCGATTAAAAGAAGCAAACTTGTGGCTAAAATGAAAAGAGAAAAGCAACAGATAATCTTCTGGCAAAAGACACATCTTTGATACAGAACATAAGAAATTAAATAAAATGGGTTTTAAGGTTTTCTTTTCCTCATATAACAATGGTCATAAATAAGGAGTAATTAATCTCAACATTAATCTCAAATAAAATCAACTTCCAATTAATATCGGTTACATTTTACAATAAGGTTCATTAGTTATATACAACTTAAACTCTAACATTGTATTTTCTGCTACAAACATTTCTATAAAGTCACTTTCTTTGTCATTTATTAAGAAATATTCCCGTAATAACCTGAATGATATTTCTATTTGTTTTTAAATAAAATCCATACATCTAATTTTCTTTTTTCAAAATGTAAAAAAATATTCCTTCTTTGCCATATTACATTCTTTGCAATTGTTATACATAAATTAAAAACAGTCATATTGCAACCTTTAACATCGTAACCAAATAAAAAAATTTTCTCCCATTCTTTTTGAGTCATGTTCTCATCATATTTTTTCTAATTCTTTCACCCCATTCTTGTGGTATTGCTCTTTTTAAATCCTCAAACTGTTTTACAAGTGTTCCTTTCCCCTCATTCACTTCATTTTCAGATAACATGTCTTCAATTTATCATTTATCACCTCATAGAGCACATCCTTCACTTGCCTAATTCCAGCTTGCCACCATTTTTTATAATATATTACATTTTCATCTTTCGTTATATTCATGTTTAAAAACAAAGGTTGTTCTAACAGCTGGTTTCTTCCTTTAGGTACAATGAGCATATTTTCTAAAAAATTTCCCCAAGCTTCTAAAAGCTCTTCATAAAATGTTGGTATACCTGTCCACATTTCTTTTTTTGTTTTCATAGATAATACACTACATCCCTTATTTACTCGACCACATTTCTTTAAAAAAATAGTCCATGACATTTTTCCACACTGCTTTAATCTTAACATCTACAAAACATTTTACCAATTTTGTCCTTAATGTTTTCACCCTTAAAAGTGGGTCTAAAAGCCCAAGTCCCCCAACTTCTTTCCCTCCAATCAACATGTCGTCGTATGCTATTTTTGCTCTTTCTTTTCCCCATAAGAAATCTAAAACACATTTTTTTTTATTCTTTTATAGTATTCACAAGGCAATGGGGTAACACTCAGCACATACCACATTTTTAATAGCATTAGAGATTTAATTAATAAAACCTTTCCCTTCAATGTCAGGTTTCTCAGTTTCCAATATCTCAATCTAATTTCCATCCCTTTTAAAACTCCCTCCCAATTAAAATGATCTGCTTTATTAAAATCCAAACAGATCCAAATGCCTAAAATCTTGATATGCTCATTCTCTTTCTTAAAATGTATGTGCTGAGGTAAAACATCTGCCCTTCCAATTCTCATACACACGCTCTTTTCAACATTAATCTTAGCTCCAGTCCCTTTACAATGCTTCTTTAAAATCCCCATTGCCTTTGTTACACTTTGGATGTCTTCAACCAACAAAGTTGTGTCATCTTCATACTGGTATATTGGTTCAAGTTCGGTTCTTACTTCTACTTGTATTTCTTTTACTCTATTGATTGCTTTTATTGCTAGTGGTTCAGCTACTAATATGTACAGTAGTGCAGATAGTGGACATCCTTGTCTTATAGACCTTGTTGGTTGAAAACATTCAGATAAAAAACATTGCATTTAATACATGTCAAAATATTGTAATAAAAAATGTTGATCCCTTTCCGAAATTTATCCCCAAATCCAAAGTTTTTAATCACTTCAAACAAATAGTCATGTTCCACTCTATCAAATGTTTTCTCTAAAACCAAACTAATTAAATATCCAATCATTTTTTTCTCCTTCGTATAAAGTAATGTATCTCTTATACTTTGAACTGTGTCTATTATGTCCCTCCCCTCTACTCCATATGCATGTGTAGTGCTTATAATTTTAGGTAATATTTTCCTTAGTCTGTTTGCTAAAACCTTTGCTAAAAATTTTAAATATGTATTTAACATTGTTAAGGGCCAATAATTCTTCAGATCTAAAGGACTTTCTCTTCTTTTGTTTATCATTTTAATCATTCCTGTCTTCATTCTTTCACTTAATTCTTCTTTGTTAAAAACCTCATCATATACTTTTAAAACAGGTGCTATAATTTCTCTAAAACTCTTATAAAACTCATTGTTTAAAAAAGGGGTGTCCAAACTATGGCCCGCGGGCCATCTGCAGCCCGCAATCAGTTTTGTGGCGGCCTGCGAGGCATTTATATATATTAATAGAATCTGGCCCGCCATACAAAAATAAACGTAATTCAATAAATTACCACCGGGTGTCACTATTACATGCCTTCAATTAGGCAGCACTTCTTGTTATGATGTAAAACTAAAGGCTGATTTATACTTCTGCGTCAAACTACGTATGCTACGGCGCTGACGCATAGCCCTTCGCCGTGGCCATCGCCGTCACTGACGTGCACCTCTCAAAAAATGTAACTACACGTCGCAACCACGCGTAGCGTAAGCTCTGTGATTGGTCGGCTTGGTAGCGCTGACGAGTCTGGGCGGAACCGAGAACCGCGCGAGCGATTGTTTACAAGTGTGGAGTACCGTGAAGGAGCTCCGGATGGAAAGTTTTGTTTTGTGTTTACCTCATAATTAAAGTTGTTGCACGTCCGCCGGTTCCTGCCTCAAAATGAGCGAGTTTGAGCCACTTGTACATCCCAGAAGTGTTCAGGAAGTGCAAAAAAGTAACGAAGAAACTCTACACAGAGGAACATTTACATCTCACTGCCAACTAGCGTTTCGGAAGTGTTAATGCAGACCGACAGAGACAGCGCGCAGAAGTATAAATGCACAGCCACGCACGTTGCCTGCGCCGTGGGTTACGCCGGTCACCTGACGCAGAAGTATAAATCAGGCTTTACCGACCAAACTGAAGGAAACATAATTGATAATCACATTTTGGCGAGCCATGGCACACCAAAACAAAAGGAAAATCAACAGTCAGTGCAGGAAGTTTCAGTCACGTTGGGGCAAAGAATATTTCTTCACAGAGGTCAGTGGGAAATGTATCTGTTTTTATTTGCCAGGAATCAGTTGCATTAATATAAGAATATAATATTAAAAGACATTATGAAACAAAGCATCAGGCCTTCAGCTCTTACACTGGTGCCAAACGAGATAAAAAAGTAAAACAATTAGCAGCGCCCTATCAGCTCAACAACAGTAGTTTTTTCATGCCAATAAAGTGCAAGAAAATTCTACACTGCACTGCAAAAAATGCTTTTTTTTATTTATATTTTTGTCTTGTTTCAAGTCCAAATATCTAAAAAATCTTAAATAAAAGAGAATTTTCTAATTTGTTTTGAGAAATAATACGCCAATATTAAGTGAGTTTTTCCTTAAAACAAGCAAATTAATCTGCCAATGGGGTAAGCAAAATAATCATTTTTCATTTTCCATCTCTTTTAGTTGTTCTTGTAAATATATGATTTTTTCAATCTCTTCATTTTGACCTATTTGCAGTCTTTTTATTTCGTCTTCTAATTCCCTTCTTATTTGAATTTCTTTATTATTTTTAACTCTTTTTAAATTTTACAATATTTTATTGAAATTTTTTTATGTCTAACTTAACATTGTCCCACCATATTCTTTAATCTTCTCTATACATTCTATCAAATTTACTGTTTACAATTATTTGTTGAATTTTTTCTTTGTATGTCTCATGTTTTAAAATTGTTGCGTTCAAAATCCATACACCTAATCCCCTTTCAACTTTTACACAATCTAACGTCACACAAAAAATCGAATGATCACTAAATCCAAGGTTTTTGTAAAATATACTTTTTATATAGTCTTTCATTTCTACATTACATAACATATAATCAATCCTACTTAACCTCATGCATTCTTGAAAATTCCCTCTTTGTCTTATTTCTCTCTCCACACATCTATTAAATTACATTGTCATCATTTTCAGTAGTTCCTCCCTCCCCTTGTCTTTTCTATATACCATCTTACTACCCAGATCTAATTCTGTGAAAACAGTATTAAAATCTCTAACTACAATAACATTCTGCCATTTTTTACATTTATACTAACGTTTTTAAAGAAGTTCACTTTTTAATTTTTTTCATTGGATGCATGAATATTATAAATTATGAAATTATCTTCAACTTTTTCTAATTTCATCGCCATGCTTTTCCCAACTCCATCCTCAAATATTACTTTTTCTTTTTCATATATACCTCTTTTTATTAAAATCACTACTCCACAACCCACTTTATCCTCTCCACTGTTAAAATATATTTGACCATCCCATTTACTTTGAACCATTTTAAACTTAAATTTTTCCAATTTGTTTCTTGCAAAACAATCACATCAGCTTCTTTACATAACACCAACATTTTTTTAAATTTCTCCACATTCAATAAACCGCTTGCATGCCATAATAAAATGTTTAAAAACATGATGAAAGATATTAAAATATTAAAACCACCCATTATTTTTCGTCTCATCCTCTACATCTGCATACCAATTTTTGTCACTCAACTAACAGCCCCTTCCATAAAAGAAACACAAATTAAATTCATGTTAAAAATAAATAAAATGGTTAAAAAAACATTATTTCTCATCATCTTCTTCTGTAGTGGTTTTCTTGGTTTTTCTCTTACTAAATCAAACTCAGTCTGGAGGTTATGAATATCAGAAGAATATACTTTATTGTCGACAACAAAGGAGAATTTTCAGGAGACCCCCAGTAGCATCCCTGTCTGAAAAGTTCTGTCTCACTCATGCCCTGGCCTTACCTAAATACCCCTTTACATCCGTTGTTTTCCTTTGTTCTCCATATATTACACAAGATCCCTCCTAGTTTAACCCTTGACTCCAAATTCCACCTCTGTCATCTGTTTTTCCTTTATTTCTACATATATCACACAAGACCCCCCTAGTTTAACCCTTGACTCCAAATTCCTCCTCTGTCATCTGTTTACACATGTGTTGCTCTATTCTTATCCATTTCCTGAGACACATTAGTTGTTTACTCAGGCTTTGTCCCGCTCTCTTCTCATCCACTTCTTTTTATGACCTTTTCTACATAGCACCTTAATTCTTTTAATGGTATGCAAGTCTACTAGCAGATTATACACATACAATTTGAATATATAGATTAACTTCACACTCCAAAGAGCACAAAATCCACCTCACTTCCAGCCCTCTTAACACTTCATACCTATTTACATTTTTTACTCGCACCTTTGTCAACATCTTTTTTCTTGCACTGTCCACATTTGGTTTTACCTTTATTGTTCTTCTTCTTATTAGTCCTCTTTCCACTTTGTTCTTCTCTACATAATCTGTCAGTTTTTCTCCATTACTTTCCATTTCTTCGGCTTGATCAGTCTTATTTTGTTCATCGTTTTCCACCATATTTAAAAAGTTTTTAAAACTCAGTTATTTCCATTTGTGTCCACTGTTCTTGTTCTGACGT